ACAACCAAAATGGCATCAATCAGAAGGTTACCTGCTGCTCCTCTTACAACCTGGGACACTCATATTAAGGGAGATCACACCCTCTTTATCTACCGCTCTTTATCAAGAACTCATATGGTTGCAAATCTCCTCTGCCCTCTTACAAAGATACCATCTGTTGACCAAAATATTTTCCCTCCACTTCTCAATGGTGGACATTTGCCATTGCCCAATATGATCTCTGAAGCTTACATTGATGCAGACTATACAGGACCGACGACAAACAGAAGATCTACTACAGGCAACTATACCTTACTTGAGCTGACTTGGTCACTTAGATGAGTAAAAAGCATAATGTAGTTGTAATATCAAGCGCAAAATCAAAATTCCAAGCAATGGCACAAGGAGTATGTGAGTTACTGTGATTGAAGAGATTCTTCGAAGAATAAAGAGTCAAATGAAATGGCCTAATGTGTCTTTATTGTGACAATAAATCAACAATAAACACTACTCACAATCCTCTATAGTATGACAGAACAGAACACATTAAAGTTAATAGGCATTTTATCAACGAAAAGCTAAACAGTGGCCTTATATATAACCCCTACATGTCTACCAAGTCGCTATTTGCAAATTTGTTAACTAAAGGTTTGAATAATCCAACATTCTAAACTATTATTACCAAGGTAGGGATGGACACAACTTGAGGGGAAGCGTTAAAGAATGTACCATATATAAATAAAGCTAACTATGTTAAAGAATACCCCTTTGTAATTAATTGTAGTTTTTCTTTTTCTTGATCCCTATAACTTATATATATAGGGACCTATTATTCAACGAGAATACAACACAAATATTCTTGACAAAAGCTTATACCTGTTTACTGGCATAAACTAATGGCTCATCATCATTTGTTTTATCTTCTAGAGGCGTCACATTAACTTTTCCAGCTACGGCCATTCCCTTTCTTGCTTCCTGCTAGCAAATGCAACAAACATGTCAAATAAAGCAAACCTAATACATATAAAGTTATCCTGTAAAGCATGGAATTTAGCCATTAGCTACAGCTAGGATTATTATGATATTGATTCTGTGACCTCAAATTTGTGCACAACAATACATATGGTAAGAACCAAATAAAAAAAGAACCAAGTTCCCGTTTCATGAAGAGATGGTTGTTCTGTTGCTTCATACAGAATCTACATGGTGTTAGCAAAAATCCTAGATAGAAACGCTAATATTGAAGATAAACAAAACATACAGCTGGAGATTTAACCTCTTCACTTTTTCTTTAATGTTATTCATGCATTCTTTTATATTATTAATTCCCAACATGCATTAAAATTTCTTGATTTCTTCTAAAAGGGTAAACCAAGGTGCACTACATTTTCTTACAGGCAAGAACGTATAAAAGATCACTCATAAGGCACCAAGAATACATACAACTAACGCAATAGTTTTTGCCACTGTGTCAATTTTTTTCAGTTATCTTTCTTTTCTCTTTTCTTAGATTGTTTCTCAACAAAACATTCCAGCAAATTTATCCTGTATCACATCATAATATCCCAGTTGCAGCCATAAGAAATCACATGCTATCTTTTTTCTTTTCCTGGTCTGCAAAACATAAGGTTAAACAGTAAAAATGAAATAATTTCAGTACTAATTAAAATTAAAAGGGATGGACAGAACATGCATCCCAATTTAAAAATTCAAAAATAGATCCAAAAAAAACTAATAACCTATATGCGTGAATGTGTGTGCATGGAGTGTGTATATCCATATATATCCTTTCAAAATGAGCCATGCCTCAATGTCTTGAGTAGAAGCTGCATCTACAGTATTCAGAGCAGTCTGGAATGTTAAATTGTTAAAGCCACTCCTGAAAAGATAATATGGGAGCAGTCACTAGTCAGTCAATTTAATCATCCAATAAGATGATTAAAAAAACTAAAGAACAAAAAATAACTCATACATCATTGTTGTGCTGGCATTAACAGTTGCAACTGCACTCGGCAAAGGAGTTACAGTCACCACAGGGGGCAGAACTCCAATTGCACTTGTTGCAGCAGATTGTGGCACAGACCCAGGGAGTGCCACTTGGACAGGATTAGCAACAGCAGGTGGAACAGAAGCAGGACTTTGAGCCACTCCAGGTGCAATTGAGGGAGTGCTAGAGACAACAGAAACTGTTGCAGGCGTTTCAGTCAAAGATACAGCAACAGCATCCGGAGCTTGAGAAGTTGCTCCAGTTTCTGATTGGGTTCCTTGGCTAACTGCAAGTTGAGCCTGTTCCCGAGCTAACTGGAATAAAAATATAAAATGAGTTCATGCGAATTACAAGCAAAAAGGAAAGATGAGAAGATAAATATTAAAAACCTTCAATTCCTCAGGCATTGACCATTTGGACTGCTTTGTAATCTTGTTGTAATAATACCTGCACAAAATTGCATAAAGATCATTGAAACCTAAATTTATTAGAAAGGTGTGAGGTTAAATGATGTGAAAACTTACTTTCTTCCCTCTGGTGTTGAAAATTCCTTCCAGACAGTTGATGCATCAGCCCTCTGTCACAAAGAAGGCAAATGTTAGTCTCAGAACTGAAACTGATACGGGAAAATCATTCAAGTACAAATAAAGATGAGTCATTTTACAACTATTAAGAAAAAAACATAAATGTGTTCCAACAGGGAGAGCAAAAGCCACATGAAACCTTGACTAACATAAAGGAGAGTGAGTATTTCCCATACAAAACCTTTAACAATGGAGAACTAGGCAATAAATTTTCAAAAACTACTTAATACAAATACTCTATTGCTTTGATTGGCAACAACAAATTTGCAAAATAAAGAAGAATATGTTTAATCATAGTTATATAACCAATTCCGTGCTGCAACATAAAGAATTGTAGCATCAAAGTTTTTGTTCTTTTGGAAAGTTATCATTAAAGTTTATAATCTGCAACTCCATCAACATTTTCTAGCTGCTTTCTGTTACGTAAATAATAAATTTGGTTCGCATAATACAATTTCTTCATGTCATGAATCCCGAACACCATCACATAGAATGCAGATGAATCCTCCTCAAAAAAATGTATAGGAATCTACAGCAACATAAAATTCATACCAAAGTATTAAAAAAAAGAAATCACAAAAGAATGCAATTTTATGGTGGACAATGAGCACCATCGGAACAGCATTTCATACCTTTATAAAGCAGTGGCACAATCTGTAAGATGAAACAAAGCAAATACTTGCAAGGAAAATGTTATAAAAATAAATTAAAAAAAAAAGAAAAAGCAGTATAAAATTGGGACTTCATTTGAATGAATGAAATAATAGATTGATACCACATGGATATACGATACACAGGTTAGTGATTGTTAGTGTGCACCTCTTAAACAATAAAAGTGAGATGCACAAATGTATCTGTTAAAAATAGATAGACAGGATATTGAAAGAAAAAAAAAATAGATTGTCAGGAGATCTATCACATGCAAGGGACTAATAAGAAACAAGATGAAAGGAAAATAGTGAACATATTTATATGTGAGGAAATTTCTCAAAGAGATGATAGCTGCCAGAGGAGAGAGGTACAGCCTCATCATAACCTCCATACGGAGTGTATATTCTCATGAACTGGGGAAAAAGTTAATGCTTTTTTTTTTAATATAGTTCCCATACATTTAATCACCATTTTACATAATAACATTTTCCCTACATGATAAATAAGATGAAACTAGCAAATATTGTCTGCCTTGAGAAAGTGAAAGCCCACCTTCAAAGTGAACAGATAGATCAGTCGTTAAATTTCTCCAGACTTGCCATGACCTCTACAGACCAGTAGAAAAACATGCAAAGAAAAGGGAATACACATAAAACAATTTTGACCAATTTAACTGTGGCTACAATTTTTAGCATCCATAAAAGAGAATGCATCTTGTGCAACTAGCACAGCATGTCAAACAAATGCGTCACCGGAGGCAACGTCTTAATAGATCACCAACATGTTTGATGCACAACTCACCTCCATTGGCGTCATCAACTCCAGAGGTTTTTCCCAGCTAGATTGTTTAGTCTGTTTGTTATAGTAATATCTGAAAGAAAAAATACACTTTCAGAGATCTGTGCACAAAAAAAGACTAGGATTCCACGGCGAAAAACTTTCAGTGGTTTAAAAAAATTTTACGACAATTTACTAGTAAATGATACTAATAACCAAAAAAAAACTTAATGCTTGAAACTCGACTTCCAAATATTATAACAGGCCATATGTAGAGAGAATGATAACTCTTGCATTTTTACCTTCTCCCATCAGCAGATGTATGCTCTTGCCAGTCAGAGGATTGCTGAGTGTGGCTAGGGGTGTTTAAAGCCTAAATATTCAGAAGGCATAAAATAAACAAAATAAGGTCAACAAGTGTAAGACTGCATTGAGAAAATAGGGCAAACAACTAAGAATAAATGAAACATTCCACTTCTTATTAACCAAACTTTAAGAAGAAAAATAATTAATAATACAAATTTTATACAAAACTTGCCTGATCTGCAGAAGATGTTACCTGAGTTTGTTGGCCAGCCTGTTGCATTGGTGGAACAAGTGATAAAGTTTGATTGG